ACTGTCTTGCCAGAGGAGTACCCATGAGATGGGAAGCAACCGGGAGAGCAAATGGCGAAGTATAAGCACTGTATGGGGCTGCCCTTTTCGGGAGCCGCAGCCTTCATGTGGCCAACACATGCTAAGGTTTTCATTCCCCGTTTAGCACATCGTAAGCTAATGCAGTTTCGTTTATGTTGCTGGGCAAACAGAGCACGAAGGGGCAAGTACCATGTTCCCAGGGAGCAGCGGTTTTGCCGCTGTTGTGGTACTAATAGCCGAATCGAGGATGGAAAACACGTGTTATTGGAATGCCCAGCCTTTAATGATATTCGTGCTGAAAAGGGATTCGATCATCAACAGAGCATGTTGGAGGCCATGAAATGGGAACCAGTACGTCTGGCAAGGATGTTGGAACGTATGTGGGCTCACCGAAACTCAATTATCCCCTTTGGACGCTAGTCTGGGCTGATGTGCGGTGTTTCCTGTTTTCCGTGGCTTTTAGGCGTATATGTATTGCCCTTGGGCCTTCGGCTCGTATGGGTAGTTTTACAGGTATGGGGTCACACACCCCCAACCATGTAACACACACACATGGCGAAGTATAAGCATTGGATGGGTCTAGCGGCCGAACAAGCGGGCAGGAAGGAGGTACTCCCGCATATCACAACGTTCATCCCTCGTTCAACGAATCGCAAGCTTGTGCAGTTTAGGCTTTGCTGCTGGGTATTGGCAGCTAACAGAGCGCGCAAGGGACGGCGTTATGTACCTAGGGAGGAGCGAGTATGGCCCTGCTGCGGCACTGATAGCCATATTGAAGACGAGAAGCACATTTTGCTGGACTGTGTGGGTGTACGACAAAATCAGATCTGATATGGATTTCCCACTCTTCGAGCACATGAAGGACGCTGTGAAGTGGGAACCTGAACGTCTGGCAAGGATGCTGGGGCGTATATGGTCCCACCGCAACTCTATCGTTCCCTTTGGTCGTTAGTATCCTTTATCACTTGCTTTGTCTGAAGTGCGAGGTAGGATGGTGCTTACTGGCGATCTGGCAGCCCTTGAGCCCTCGGCTCGTATTAGGGTGGTTTGCAGGTACGGGGAACACACCCACGACCATGTAAAACACACATATGGTCTGGTCTGGGTTGACACTACTGCAATTAGCGGTTTAAGGTCCTGGGTTCGATTCCTGGGGAGACCCCCGAATTAGTCGGGAGCGCGAGATTATGGCTAGCTGCTGAGATGTGGAGTTGAGGTCACAGTTGATGGACCAGATTCGCACGCTAGATTGGTGGCGATTGCCGAACCCTCCGTCTCTTCGGGTGTTCGGGTGAATGGAAGAGGAGGGATCCCTGAAGGCTGGATCCGCCGCCTTGGACTTACAGTTCGTATGGCGAAGTACAGTGTGGTAGTGGTGGATGGTGCTATAAGGTGATAAATGATCTAGAACTGACAATGTGATAAAGCGGCCCAGAAGCCTCCCACTCTGTAACATTACATTACATTACATTACATTACATTACATATAACACACACACAGCTCAGGGATATCCTTATTAAACTTCCTGATGTGCTAGTATAGTAGCCGATGGATAGATGTTGTATCCAGTGGAGTGGTAGCTGCACACACCAATCACCTACCATGATTGATGCCATGCTGGTGACTGCAATACATGTGCCTGCTCTACCATATACCAAGCAACTACTCACCGCAGGGAGGCGGGCCACGTTTGGGCTCAGCACCCTGTGTCGAGATAAGAAAATTACCACCCCCAAGCTATGTATGTCTCTCTATAATACACTAGGGAGGAAAACGCAGGGGTCACCCAAGGTATTCGGGCACTCCCACCGTGCATCAAGCCGCTTAGTAAATACCTTAAGAATGCTCTCTACCGGCAATGTAAGGGTGGCGTAACGTGCTATGAGATCATCACCGCGCTAATTAGTGGGTGGTTCCGCGCTAGTAAGAAAGGCTAGTACCTTGCTTGTTCAGCACTCAGTAACACCCTCGAGTGCCAACTCCAGGTCGGCGGCAAAGGCCTGATGACACAGCGTTCCCGGCCTCTCTACCACGGAGTTCCAAAACCTAAGTACAAGATTGGTGCAATGGAACTGGAGCGGCCTCTGTGACACCTCGCGGTGTAGGGAAACCATAGTCGGGCTCCTCGCCCCAACGACAGATCGCATATACGCACGCTGCTCCTGGACCACGGGATTAGTCATATCGCCTTCAAAATTAACACTTATGAAGTCATGTCCCCAAACTTTTGCTCCATAGGAAAACACCGGTACAACTAGTGTATTATGAACATCCTGGCCGGCAGACTCTTACCAGGGTTGCCCTCAGAAGATGTGTACCTTTACGGAGCACATGCTTGCTGGCAGCGTGCCGAATTGCGAGCAGGAGCTGCGAAGAGACATGCATAGCTTGGGGATGGTATTTTTCTTATCTCGACACATACTGCTGAGCCCGAACGTGGCCCGCCTCCCTGCTGCGAGTCGTTGCTTGTTACATGCTGAAAATTGCGCTCCTGGGCCATAGTGCAACCCGAGGTACCGTGCCGCCTTGTTGTAGCGCGGTAGCTACACAGTAATGATAAGTTCATTAAGAGTTATGCAAGTCTGATTATGAGTAAGAAATCCTTTGAAACAGATATGGCTGTCAAAGAATTATTTGTAATACACCGGAACTAACGGAACTTACCATCAAGGATCTGTACGGCATTCATTCCTGAAATCCACGAACTTATCGAAGTTGTCTTTGCTCACAGCAACACGTAGTCGTGTAAAAATTTATATTCTGTTCACGTTAGGAGCGAGGTTGGATACCGTGGTCGAAGCAGTGCCGGCCTGAGACAGACTTCACGTGTCTGTTGGCATTGCATTAAGCTACAAACATCTTTGGTGTCTCGGTACGTCTTTAAACTATATACTGATTAAGAAAGCAGAGAATTTGCCTAGTTTAGGTTGTCAGCCGCCTCCGCATCTTTGGGGCGACTGGGTCAACCTCTCCGTGGATGAACGCAAATCCACTTCGCCACGTCAGCGAAGCGTTGGTCCAAGTTCCTCCAGCTGGCCTACGACTCTCCGTTCAAGGTTGGCGGCTTTGGACGCCACAATCTGATAAACCGCAATGAGCCCACCGACGCCTACCGATTCAAAAAACGTACATGACGCTGTTGTTTCTCAACAATTCACGAATCCACCGAACCTACTGAACTCGGCGAAGCCTCCGAACACCGAACCGGCTAGGGAAGCTGGCGGCTCCGCCGATCCCTCACATACCGAATACGAATTACTTACACTCAAACTCAAACTCGTCCAAGCGGAAATCGAGTTGGCACGTTTGAAAGGCGCTGGTGCCGGTCCTTCGACTGCACCCGCTCCGATAGTGAGTACCGAAGCTGCAAGTATATCGCGTACCTAACCACCTAAGCACGTTTCACATTCCGATCCTAACCACCGCAGCCGATCAAGAACAGGAGCCTGGAGACTTTTGTGAACGATTTCCAGGAACGGGCAGCGAAGTATGTCCCAAACAATTTGGACGACGCACTGTGGCAGCTTCGGCATTCCCTTTGCGAAGATCCGTCTGGTGCCGCCGAATGGTTCTCTGAATACCGGACCAAATTTGAAACCACGAATAAACCGATCCACTTTCCGGACGTCCCGAAGGCCTTCCTGGATTATTTCGAACCGAAGGTACGCACTCAGTCGATGCACTCGAATCTTTACTGAAGGGGGAGGTTAAGATGGACGAAAACTAGGTACGATTGTGCAATTCCTATTGTTAAAAAAAATTGCAGACCCCCCGGCAGGGTCGATCTCGCGCGGCTATCCACTACGCTGCTGCCGCCCCCTCGAAAATCAAACACCGTCCTCATGTTTCTCGGCAGGATGGGTCGAAGCCAACGGGAAAGCGGACTATCGAACAGCAACCCTGGCGCGATGCTGTGGCGAAGCGCGTCAAGGTGGATTGCCCTCCAACAACCGAAGCCGCACCGAACAACGTCCGTCAGACAGAACATCCTGCCACGTCGACGCCCACATTTCCTGATCGGTCTGTGCCTACTCCTTCATTCCTGTCGAAAACCACATCAGATGCCAAGATGACGCTGATGCAAGCTGCCCTGGACCGACCCAACGAGCCATCCAGAACCCCGAATCCCCTGTGGCCTGGAACGTTCTTGTCGAATTTGGAGAAGTATCAATGGATGAAGCAAGGGAAATGCTACCGTTGTGGAATTCAGAATGATCACATCAGTTCCCGTTGCCCGAATCCGTTGGTTTCTCCGGACATGTTTCGCCGACCGAAAGATCGATAGGACATTGCCCAGTCGTATTTGCGTGGCATGCGTACTGAGGTAACGGAACTGCATGGTTTCCTTATTAGTGATTTTATGTTAATTGCGACAAGTTGAGAACAGGATCGGATATGCGTTTTCTCTAGCGACGATGGTAGCAATTCTGTTTGTAGAACGTTTGCTTCTCCTACTCCGATTGACACCATTGGAAGAAGATAAGTTGTAAAGCAGGTAAAGGACTTGCTGGCTAAAGGGTTCATTCAACCCTCGACATTTCCTTTTGGTGCGCCAATCCTCTTTGTGACCAAAAAACCCGGTGAACTCCGAATGTGTATCGATTTCCGATCTCTGAATCAAACTAATGTTTAAGAACCGATGTCCATTACCACGAATTGACAATGGAAAATGAGCAGGGATTCCACAGGCAAAACATCCTGCCGGTGCTCGCATGCACTGATCCGCCATAGCGCTCCTGCCCAGGCTATGAAGGTGTTGTTCACCCAGGCCTCCATTACATCGTTTGGTGAAAACCCTAATACCCTAAGCCTCCATCACAACAAGGGTAAACCACGCCATCAGTTCCGGTGCCTTGAGCCTTGACCCAGTTGACAGTGGAACAGTCCAGCGCAGTACGGCAATAGCTGTTTTCAGGTTTGACAACAACTGGCAGCATGTCTTTGTGGGCAAGGTCGACCAGGTGCATGCTACACATCCTCATGTAGTGTCCATCACGCCCATACGTTTCTCCTCAATCCTGCGTGCGGAGGCACAAGGCCAGAGTGGCTGTCTCTTCCACAGCTGCAATTTTCACACCAGGGTTTCCACGGTGCAGGGCGACCCAAACCCTAAAACCCCAAAAGACCGTTCCAACAAAAATCAAGAAATGGAGAACTCTCATGCACATGCAAAACCCCCGCCACCCCCCACTCTCCCTCTTGTGGTATCCGCTTCACTCGTCGGTGGTTAGTCTTATTACCCGCTCTCCGTCCTCCGCAGCAACCCAGCAGCAATCCTCCATACCTCCATACGCATCCGCAGGGTCAGCAGCTTACCACCGGCCCGGCATCTCGCCCCAGGACACTCACACCGCCGCCGCCCTTGGGGGCGCAGGCTGTGATACCGACTCTACTTCTACCAGGCGCTCACGTCCCGTACGAGAGACGTCGAGGCAAACCCAACCCCCGACCCCAAACCCCACCCGCCACCACCACCATGAAGCGACGGAGCCGGCGACGCAGCCAGCAGCCGTGCCGTACGCGCCAGGTCAACGGTCGGCAGAGTGGCGGACGCCAATGGCGCTGCCGTACCAGCGGCGGCGGCGTCTCGCAGTGACGCCAGGCAGCGTGAGGCCAGGTCAGCCTGTACGACATTGCAGGAGCAGTACGACGACAGTGATCGTGGTGAAAAGAGGATTCCCCACCACCCGCGTGGAAGTGGCGGGGAACTAACTCCTCCACTCGGGGGTACGTGCGATGAAGGGAAAGAGGAGTTGCAGCAACCTTACAACAACCTTAAAACAACTTTACAACGACCTTACAACGACCTTAACGCACATAGGCAATAACGGGTTACGGCCCCTAGGACTGGGTGGAGTATTATGAGCTGCGCGACCCCGCTAGAGGGCGGGGCGGTTATCCTGCGCTTCAGATAGGGCTGGTAGGGCGGTGTGTAGGGCACTGCGCTGCAACGGGACCGGCACCAGCAGCTGTAGCAGCCACACCTCCGACTGCCAGCCACCACGTATACTCCCTCTGCCCCTCCTCTGGCACACACACACACACACACACACACACACACACACCGCCGCCGCCCAGCTGGCATTGGTCGGGCATGTTGCAGAAAACCACACCCCCTCCCTATCCCGTACAGCTGATGTCCCGGTGCTTCCCCTGCAAACCCCCTAACCCAGCCCTGACCTCATCAACACCCCATCCCCCCAGCTAACCCCCTCTTTCCCCCCATAACCCCCGCCCGCACACGTCACCCCTAAACCCACCTGCAAATTGACACACGCCTGCGCCATCAGGCGGCAATGCGGATCCACGTCATCCTCCGACACTGTACGGCACCACCGGGAAACCCACTCGAGCCGTTCCGCCAAGCCATCACCACAGCCATCGCAGCCGCCGACGACGACGACGACCCCTCCGGCGCCTGCAGTGCCTGCAGCGGCAGCAGTAGCCCCCAGCAGCGCCCCTGCTACCGCCGGCGGCGGCAGCTGAGCGAGCACCTGACCCGCCGCCAGCAAGGCAGCTCGCCGTACGTACGGCTCGGGATGACTATGAACCTGCGGGTCACGGGGAGTCGGCGGGCGAGTGGGGCGGATAGCGCTGTTACGTAGCGTTGATAGGTAAGCCGGAGAGGCGCGGGACCGCCCTTTACTTCTGTGTTTGCATTTCTCCGGGTTACCTTATCCTATTACGTAATGCTGTTGAAGAAGAAGATGATGATGATGATGATGATGAAGACCATAGGCGTCGGAGTAGGCGGAGGCCGGGAGCCGTCTCGGCGCTCGTACGGACGTCACTCGACCCCCCGCCCCGCCCATTCTAACAACAACAACCAACAACAACAATAATAACAACCAAACACAGCACAGCGCATAGCATAACATCACCAACAAGTATCACCAACAAGTACTCAGGGGTCCCTCCCCCCGTTCCCTAGGGTTTCGGAGCCCCCATTCGGCTTTCATTGCATCAACCCCCGGGGCCCCCCCTTCCCCCCAACCCCACCCCACCCCACCCCACGTAACCTGCGGCGCCCGAATGAGCTCCAGGGTGGCTCTCGCGAGTGACGTCATTGCCGTACTACCCGCTGCCGCCTCCGCAAACGTCGCCAAGGTGGTGAGCACCCTCCCCAGCAGCTGGTGGTCCCGGCCCAGCAGGTCCACTCCGTGCTTCACCTTGTCCACCTGCCGGGGGCGGGGAAGGGGGAAGAGGGGGGCCGAACTGTGTGTGTGTACGTGTGTCTCAGCGTACTTGCGGTGTGTGTGTATGTGTATGTGTATTTGGGGGGGGGGATGACGGCACGCGATCTGGCCAAGAGGGGAGTCCCCCCGGGGGTTGGGGGGCCGCCCGAACGTGAGGTGGTGTTGGTCCGCATGACCACGGTGGGAAGACACGCGCGAAGCTCCACGACGGCGGCAAAACACGCGACGGACTTGGCGGAGTACGGGCCCCGGGGGGGAGGGGGAGTGCTTGTGCTTGTCTACGGCGGCAGTAGTTCCCTCTGAAAAGTGACAAGGTGCGGCTGCGGTTGCTGTTGCGGTTGCGGTTGCGGTTGCGGGTATGGGCGCGCCTGGGGTCACTGGGCCTCCGCACATTGCTGGGCCGCTGTTCAACGCATACAAGGGCTCTCGGCTGTCCCCTCCCCCTCCCCCTCCCCCTCCCCCTCCTCCCTCCTAGCCTATCCGTCTATCTCTGATATCTGCTTCATTCGCCAGTGGTTCGTCTTAACCCCCACCCCACCCCGGTCTTCTCCCCTCTTCGCCCACCCCTACCCCACCCCTCTACCCCCCTCCTCTTCCTCCGAAACCCACCTCCCGGAGCAGCCCAGCCGCCCACCGCAACGCCACATCCGCGAAGCGATTTCGAAACGCGCCGCCGCCTCCGCCGCCGCCACTGCCCGCAGCCGGCCCTCCCGAACCAACGCCGCCGCCAGCCGCCGCCGCCGCTGCCGCCGCCTCCTCCTGCTCCTTCAGCTTCCGCAGCGCCACGGGCGCCCACACTCGCGTCCTCGGACCTCCCCCCCGAACCACACCCACCGCGCTCCTGTCCACCGATGCATTACCCCCGCCACCCACATACCCAGTCCGCTGCCCCACGGGAGCTTTGCGGGTCGAGGGGGGAAGGGCGTGGGGTTGGTGTATTGTGGTTTCGGGGCGGGTGAGGAGCGGTCTGCCCCCGGGTCCTTGCGTGAGTCGTGGAGCGACCCTTGGGTCGGCCAGCTCCGCCGCTGCTGCCGCCAGCGCGTCCAGCAGCGTGAGGCGCTGGTGCATGTCCAAGTGGGGCGAGTAAATCTCGGGGAGAAGGGCATCGCCCGCTGGGGGTTAGAGGGGGCCCGGCGGTTTTGGGGGGAGGGGAGAGATAGGGGGGAAGTCATACACGAGAAGAAAACAATTTAGGTAGACGGTAGGCGGGGTCGGGCATAAAAGCGAGATAAAGGGTGTTGTAGGGACTTGTTATTGATCTGAGCAGCGCCATGAGGGAAATGCCGGCGGGGGATGTACGCGAATAACTTTACCGAAGCAAGCTCCCTAGTCACCAGCAGCGAATTACACTATTTCAGGATTACATAATACAGTTATCCTACATATATATAACTGAAATAGGATATCTATATCTACATACATACTTCCGAGGTTACATCCTAACCAAGGCTAGCGCACAGAGCAGGAGGGGTGAATGCCTCCTCAAGCAGGCCCAATGGCTACCCCCCAATGGTCGGCCCCAACGCAGGGAAAGGAACCACCCCTCCGTGGTGCGGTATTCACACAGCCCACCCCTTGGAGTAACCTACTCCACCCTGGCCCCAACGTCCCCCCCCTTCCTCCCCCCTCCCCACCTTTCAAGCACCCACCGCCTCCCAATGGTGTCCCCAGTGTAGCTCCGAAACCACAGCTCCGGAACCACAGCCCATCCCGTCCCATCACAGCTGCAGCCTGAATCCCCCCCCCAAGGGTCCTCCGCCCGACCGCCGTCATTCGCACACCAGCAAGCCAAGCAGCCACCTAACCCCGCCATTACACACTTTACTGCCGCCATCCTCTTCCGTGCCGCACTTGCCATCGCCGCACCCACCCGCACCTCGGCCGGCTGACTGGCGTCTCGGCCTCCGTACACTCACCACCTCACTTTACCGCCGCGTCACCCCTCTCCCCCCCAGGCCCCTTTCCCCCCTTCCCTGAACCCAGTCACTCGTCATTCCCCCTCCTCCCCCTCCCCTTCATCATCGTCATCATCATTCGCACACTCATTGACCCACCGGCAAGCGGCACCAGGGCCAGCAGCGCCACCAAACTGCGCCGCCGCTGAGCCAGCGCCGACGACGAACCCGCCGCCGCCACCGCCGCCGCCGCCGCTCCGACGGCGGAGCGACCCGCGGGTCCCACTACCCCCGTCGGGCCCTGACGGGACCGGCCCACACCACCACGTCCTACCCCCAGATTCGGCCCCTCTCCGGGCGCCGGACGCCCAGGTGACCCATGGGTCACCTCCTCCTCAGACCCCCCGGCCGACTGCTCGTCCACATCCGCCTCCATTTCGGCCCACTCCGGTACTCGGCAGTGCAGCAGCGAGCGAATGAGCTCCGGAGCCATAAGGCCCAACTCGTCCGGGGCGGCCCGGATGACCTCCTGCATGCGGGGAGGAACGGGGGGGAGGGGAGGGAGTTCTACCCCATGCGTGTGTTTGTGTTCGTGTGTGTGTTCGTGTGTGCTTGTGTTCGTGTGTGTTTGTGTTCGTGTGTGTGTATAAGAATTCGGACGTGCTGAAGACATATACATATGTGCTATATGCAATACATGTACACAGAAAACAAGCGTGGTAATACGTATAACTGAAGCATCTCCGTACAGGCGCACTGCATGCCGTACTATGCCGTACGATACCTCCAGTTGCTTGAGGGCCGCCAACACGGTTTTAACGTCGTCTTGTTTCCGAAGAGCCGCCGCCAGGGCACGCAGCTGCAGCGCGGCGGGCTCCGCTCGGTGCCAGGCCTCCGCCTCCGCATCCCCCTCCATCTCGTCCACCGTACCCAGCGGCCGTAACTCGTCGCCGTCGCTGCCGTCGCCACTGCCGTACTCTGCGTCTTCGCCTCCGTCGGTTTCTTCATCGTCGCTGTCAGTTGCCGTACAAATGCTATCGCTGTCGACGTCGTCGTGGCCCTCCGGGGAAGGCTCAACGGACCCGCCGCCGCCGCCGCCGGCCGCCGTCGCGCTTGAAGCAGCGGCGGTGCAAAAAGGCTGCCGAGAAGTCTTCGTCGCCGCCGCCGTCGCCACAGACGCCGCCGCACCCTCCTCCTCCGCGCCCGTACACGCCAGCCCCGCGTCCCTCCCTGGAGACGGAGGTCCCCTCCACACCAGCTGCCGTCGCTGCGCACCTGGTGGTGGAGGCGGCGGAGGCCGTGTTGGGTTGGGTTATGAGGGAGCAGGTGTGGACCCCTTCCCCCCCGGGGGCCGGGGGGAGGGGGGCGGGGCCGGGGGAAGGGGGAGGGGGAGGGGGAAGGCGGGAGGGGGGAGGGGGAGGGGGCAGGGGGAGGGGGAAGGGGGAGGGGGGAGTGGGAGGGGGGAGCGAAGTAGAGAACAGATGTTAGAGAACCGCAACAGATCTCTCCACCATACCCACACCCATAACCAACCCGACCCCATCACACAAACCCGCTTTAACCAACTCGCCTTCCCAATACACACACACGCACATACACACGCACACACATACACACACGCACATACATACACGCACATACACATATACACACGCACATACACACCCATACACACGCACATACATACATACATGCACACGCACCTGGCCAAAGCTCCTCTGGTGCCATCCCCAGATCCCCCATGTCGCCGAACAGCTCACTGGCGGGGTCCAGCACCAAGCTGAATCCGCGGCCTACACGCATCGCCTGCCGCTGTGTCGCCACCAGCGGGCTGCCTAGCCGCTGGCTCACACCCCCCAACAGCCCCGTCAGCAACCCAGGGGTGACCTCAACAGTCTCCCGGTCCAGCCGGGCTAAGACAAGCAGCAGCGCCTGGGTAAGATATGCCTGACGTTGTACGGATGTACGAGTTACGGCGGCGGCGTCGCCCCAGGTCGAAGCCAGCGTGACGGCGGCGGCGGCGGGCTGGGTGGCGGGGTAGGCAGCGGCGAGCAGCGCCGTCAGGAGCCGGAGGCAGTCGAGAGGCAGCGGCGGCCGCTGCAGCGACAGCAGCAGCCGGTCGGTAAGGGTGTACGACACGGCGGGATGTGACGTCAGGGCTGGCGGCAGGAGCCATAGGAGGGCGGAGAGCGCGGCGGCGGCTGCGGCGGGGGGTAGCGGCGGCGGCGAGAGGCCTAGGAGTGCCTCACGCTGCTGTAGCTGCTGTAGCTCTTGTTGCAGCCGCTGCTGCTGCGGCGTCGGCGTCGGCGTCGGCCTCGGCGGCGAAAGCTGATTGCCAGCTGTCGCGGCCAATGCCGGCCGCGCCGCGCGATCCAGCAGCGCCGCCAGCAGCCGTTCCAGTGCCGCCGAGCTTACGTCAGCTAGCTGCAACAAGGCTGCCGTACAGCCCTCCTGCAGCCGTCGGCTACTCCCATCGTCATCGCTGTCGTGCCCTTCAATGACGTCGTACGCTGCCCGCAGGCTGGTCGTACACGACAGCAGTGCGTCCGCCGCCACCGCTGCGTAGCCCCGCTTGGCTAGGCGCTCCAATACCTCCGCCAGCAAGTCCACTGCCGCCGCCGCCACCAGAGGCTCCAGTACGGCAACACCTGTGCCGCTCAGTCCGCCGCCGCCATAGTCGCCGCCGACAGGCCCAGGCCCGTCGTCACAAGTGCCCTCTCCGTTTGCGGCTTTTGTGTACGACAATCTGCAGCCACGTAGAGCGCCACCGTCGGCGACATCCCAAGACGCCAGCGATGCCGTACATTTATCCAGGCCACGCCTCAGCCGCGCCGTCGCTGCCGCCACGCTACGCCCCGGGTTCGCCAACGCCGCCATCAGCTGCTGTAGCAGCCGCCAGTAAAACGCCTCAGGCTGTAGCCGCTGCAGCTCTGAAAGCTCCGGTGACGCCGCCGCTGCTGCCGCCAGCAGGCCTCCCGCGCGATCCGGCACCGAAACCAGTAGCGCCGCAAGCGACGCCGCACTGTACAATCCACCGTACATGCCCGCTACGGTTCCCCGTAGCGACAGTGACGAGGACGGTGTTGCCTCGCTGCTGGGGGCAGCTGGCGGCAGGAGCAGCAGCAGCGGCAGCAGCATCCCGAGGACGCCCTCACTAGCCGGTGACTGCTGCCCGCGGTCGTGTCCCGGCCCTTCAGTGCTGGGCAGCGGCGATGGCGGCTGCTCCCGTACAGCAGTCCCCGTCGCCGCCGCCTCTGCCGCCAATGCTGACAATGACCCACGGGTCAGTGCCGAATGCACCGCCAGGTGCAGCAGCAGCTCCGAAACCCCGCAGCACCCGGGCGCGGCGAAGCGCTGTGCGAGGCAGGCGGCCGCCACGTCCGCCCCGCGGGAGGTCACCAGGGCGCGGGACCCTCCCTCTCGTCCTCCCCCCCCTCTCCCCCCTGCTGCTGCTGCTGCGGCGGCGCCCCGACATCTTCCCGCCCCCGTGTCGCCCTCCCGCACCCTTCCCTCGCCCCTCGCCCCCCTGGGCCCCTCCGTCCCGGATGACGCCCCACCGGCTGCGGACGTGGCCCTCAGCCTCAGGGGTGTCACCATGGAGAGGTGACTGGGGCCCGGGGGAGAGGGGGAGCGACAGGGGGAGAGGGGGGCCAGGTGAGCAAAACCAGGATAAGGTCAAGTTAAAGAGAGCCGGGGAACCCGGGGGTTGCTTGGCACACGCGGTGAGCAGGCACCGTTGGGTACGGCAAAAAAACTGCTGGCGTAGACAGGGAGGAGGCAGAATGCCGTACAGCGGGGCGTAGGCGCCAACAGTGGGGTTTTTAACCAAATGGCAGGTGGGTGACACGGTGGGTTGTGTGTGTGTGTGAGGGGGGTTTGAGGTAGGGAGGCAGAGGACGGCAAGGAGGAAGGGGGGCGGAACTGAAGACGCCGGCCGCTAGCCAGGGGTCCTCGTACCAACGGACAGCAACGGAGAACCAACAAAGACCAACGGCAACCAACACAAACCGACTCAACGACTTTGGGCCATCAACGTATACACAACCTCCAACTACCTGACGAGGCTTTGCAGTAGCACTGGGGCGGGTGCAAGCTGTAGCAGGGCCGCCAGCAGTAGGGGCAACCGGGCCCCGGGACGCACAGCCACCGGCTGCTGCTGCTGCTGCTGCTGCTGCTGCTGCTGCTGCTGCTCCGGTTTTGTTGTTATGGTAGCCGCCGCTTAGGGTCGTGGGAGCGGCGCGGGAGATACAAGGGGAGTTCAACATCATGGAAGGGGGGGAACGGGGATGGGGGAGGAGGAAAGGCCTGAGGTAAGCCGGGGAACAAGGTAACCATCAGGGAGGTAGGGCTGATGAAAAGAATTGCTAACGGCTAACGGACAACCTTTAGACGTCCCAAAATATATGACGAGGGTGGAGCTGCCTCTGCAGCAGCAGGCTGGCGGGCTGGACCCGGGAGGCCTGCCAAAAGGGGTTGGGGGGGGAAGGAGGAGGGAGGAGGGCGCTGTTGCAGTTTTGTCAACCAAATTATAGCAGTCAACCTGACGACGCCTGCGCAAACTATTCTTTATCCGCAGTCTTTGCCTTCAGACACCTGGGTTCCTAAGGGCTTTTCCATCTCCCAGGATTCTGCTCCGAAACCACATCGTAATACCCTTTCCCTGCGCCGCGCCAGCCCCCTTGGCCTCCTGTCGCCTACCGGGTAGGAGCATCGCAGCCCACTGCTCGAAGTAAAGACAGAAGAACGCCGCGCGCACCGAGTCGGCAACGGTGGACGCGCCCAACCGCTGTCGGGCGGCATCGAGCTCGTGCAGGTAAAGGAGCACCGACTGCCTTGCTGCCTCACAACCCTGAAATGTTTGGCCTGAAGCGTATTTCAGAGCGTCCGGTTCTCCAGCGACTAGAGCAGCGTGTAGGACGCGCGCCAAAGAGCCGACGACGTCCAAATCGTCTGTGCTGTCGGCAAGTCTGCACGCCTCCTTTACGAGGCCACGGATGGGGACCTCGAGTTCTAACATCGATGCCGTCAGTCACACTGATAATTGCGCAGACACGGATGATACGGTGAAAAAGGCTCCCGAACAACGCCGCTGATGACAGTTGTCGGAATAGATAATTATTAAAGCACAACTGCACCCACTAATCATAAAAATACACCACAGCGACTTTGCATATTTAAAAAGATGTTTCTCGTTGAAACACTTGGCCGATGTCCAAGAGGTCCCGGAGGTCGCATCAACGTTTCTTAATACAGACACAACTAAAGTTTTGGCAGCGTGAAACAATCTTATGATAGGCCCTAGTCTGATGTGTCCGAGACCTAAGCAACAACTGTAGCTCGTCCCGAACCTTATGTAATCATCAACTGACATTATTAACTGAAAGATGCAGACCTCTTAATCAGAAGCTAAAATGACCTGTAGAGCGTGAGAATACAATTGCTTAGTTCTAGAAGCTTGCAATCCGCCTTCACCTCATCACATCTGTCTCTCTTCAAGCAGGATGTTGAAGCCACAGCCGACCCGCGGATGGCCCTGCTCACTGCTGTTCCGGCCTAGCAACAGGCACTCCTCCTCATTCTAGGCGACCATGATACTTCAAAATTTCTCACATATCCCTATCACCAAGGCTTAGGTATACGGTACATGTGAATTATTCCATAGGCCCTGTACGGGCCTTGTAGGCCCGTACGCCGCTGCCACTTCCCAACTGCCCCGGCTGATCCAGACCTTGTGCAATGACCTGTGCGATCATTCCTGCCCACCTGGACCATTGGTTGACCATTATGATGGCAGGTTGACAATGCGTCTGCAGGGCTTGAAGGGAACGGCTAGGGACGGCGACAATGGCTGATGTGCATCAGGTCTGTGCACCAACATGCAGCTTTATGCTAGCCTCTGCATGCGGGTTTTGGAGGCCTGACCTGGATTTTGGAAAGCCAGGCAGAAGGTAGATTTCTTCAATCACGACGATCCTACACATCACGACATCCCTGCACGGATCTATACCCCTGGAAAGGCCCAGATTTGGTCTCCGACAGTGTGCGGGTTAAAGTCAGTCGACCGTTAGAGGGTGGATGTGATGTGCTACCATGCCGATGGACGGTGATCGACCCGGTTACTGTGAGAGGAACCTGCGACCCGACCGGGAGAGGAGAGGAGCTGTCGGCGCCGTTGATTGGGGCTGGGGCCAGATTCCACTGGATGCATGCTGGTGGCGTTGGTGGTGGGAGTGGTGATGGTTGGTGGGAGTGTGTGTGTATGTGTGTGTATATGTGTGTGTATGTGTGTGTATATGTGTGTGTGTGTGTCATCTGACAGACCTGCGCCTGTTCGTAGAGCCCACACACCCTAAGTGGCTGCTGGGGACCTCACTCTGCGGGGGTAAGTTAATGAGCTGCTTCGGCACCCTGCAGCCCTTAATCCCTAATGCTCAAGGTCCTGGTCTCACTGTCGTAAATGGCTGTACATATGTATGTATGTACGTATACACTCGGCTGGTCTGCTTGAGAAAGGTGCACTGTATTACTTCATTACGTTTCGGCGCCATTACGTGGATAAGGTAAAAAGATCTTCGGAGTCGCCGCGGTGAGTTGCCGGTAGTGGTGGTGGTAGTATACAAGCAACTTCATGCCGAAGCGAGCTCCGTTGTCGGCGACGACGTGTTGGACAGTTGGTCACCATATGTTGAACAGAATAGTGATGGTGTCCAGAGCCCCAGAGAAATAAGCGAAGAGCTTCGATGCTATGAGTTAGGTCTAAATAAGCCTGATTGCGCCAATCAGGGTGCGGGCAGTTGATCCCATACGAACGAATTCGGCTTTACTAAAGCTAACCAGCAACGAGCTCGCGCAATCGCGAACCAGTTGCATCTATTCGCTGCACCCATGTTTGACCACTTTCTGGACAAGCGTGTGTTGTATGATGTTCAACTGCTGTTACAACTCACACTTCTGATCTAAAAATTCCTGACGAAATTCATCCGGATTTTCAGAGAAGGAAAAATCGCTGTTCTAGGTCCTGCAAGGACGGCTGGACATTGAAGATGGCGAATAACTACGTCCAACTGACAAGCGCTACCTATCCATACCACCCACAGTTTGGCGGAGAGCAGGAAAGCTCCTTAATGACATGATATCTTCAATTTGGCTGAAATAGAGATGCTACAGGTGCTACAGGTAGGTATTATGGAACCTAAAAACCGCTAGCAGTCGCTCACCGCATATTTCTGAAGTCAAAGAGCCCGCCACCGTAAGGGCCGGATTAGTTGGGGCGAGCATCCGTATGATACGAAGGGCTCACTTACAACCTTTGTAACGCTCTCCGCCTAAGCGAGCCCCACGCACCACGCACGAACGAATTTAGGCCCTTTTCGGTGATATCCAAATTTTTTGGAAGCGCGATCGCGCCCCGTTTTATTGTAATAATTTTCCGTGTTCCTGAATCGAGTAATCGTGTTATCGCGAGTACCCGTTAGCATTATGTTTCCTCTCGTACCGTGGGGCCAAGACCCACTTACTTCGTCTACTCATCGATTCGTTACCGTTACGCCTGTGCGTGACGATCTCATCGTCCCGCCGTTACACCTGCCGCTGGTACGTTTTGTCTGTTTTCGATGGACGTCCGTCAGCTTAGTGCGTCCTACGCCTCGGCTCTATGATCACCGCAGGTCTTTCCTGGTAATCCTCTCCCTGCCATGCCTCCGCTTGCTGCGGGCCCTATCCGTCTCCCGAGGTCGGCGCCGCCGCCTTTAGACCCTGTCGCGGCTCTGTATTACTCTGAGTTTACCGGGGACGTGTCGGTGCGGCCGCCGCTCACGGCCGCCTTGCTCTCGATCTACCAGGTGCACCAACGTCAGTGGGTCTCGGAGAGCTGGCGGCGGGTTCAAAGTGCTGCGCGAGAATTTCATGGCTGGTTGCAGCGCCAGTCTCTCGGGCTCACCTTGCTCACCTGCGATCCTATGTCCATTGTTTCGTATCTGGTGGGATGGTGGTTCCCCCGGCACCCTGGGCGTCTGCGGGCTGACCGGCGTCCCAGCGCCAGTGCTGTGAAAGGGGTTATCTCGAGCCTTGCGACTGCTTTTAAGCAGCTGGGCCGGGAAGGGGACTATGACGCCTCTCAAAGCCGCGGGAATCCTTGCGACAGCTCCTTGGTGCGAGGCTATGTCAAGGGCTACGGGCGGGACCTTAGTGACGCCGGTTATGTGGAGCGAGGCGCCATCCCTTTGACCGCGGAAAAGTTTCGTCGCCTGGCCTGCCATCTGTGGACTGCGTCCGGCGACGAAGAGCATTTGTTTGCTCGCAGTTTGGTGCTTCGGGACTTGTCTCTATTTGCTTTAATGTGGCATACGTATCAGCGCGGTCATGATGTCGGCAAGCTGGTGTTAAGTGATTTCAGGGATCCGGTGCATGGCCGTACCGAGTACCAGGGCTGGCCGTTACCCCTACCCGCGCCTGACGGGAGTGTCTCTCCCGACACTGTACTCCGTATCGAAGAATTAAATACCAAGACGTACAAGGGTCAGCGTGCTCCTGCGACGATGTTGCGTCCGGATCGTGATCCTATCGTCTGCGCGCTGCGGTTTCTTGCGGTGTACATGAGCATGTGTACGAGGGCCGGTACCCCTATTACCCAATACCTCTTCCGTCCGGCGGAGCGCAGTGGCCGCGCATATCGGGAGGCGCCGATGACGACCGAGGCCCTGGAATATCGCCTCGTCGCTCATCTTACCGCTGCTGGGCTATACGGTGGAGAGACGGTGCACAGTTTTCGTCGGGGTGCTTTGCAGCATGCCCAGTCTCAGGGGGTCTCCGATGAGGATCTCATGCGCTCCGCGCACATCCGCTCTCTGGGTACTCTGCACCGCTATCTGGATCCTACTAGGCACCTCGCCCGCCTCCCGGCCGGCGGGACGGGGACGGGGCTGGTGGTTTCGGAGAGTGATGATGAGTGATAAGTCTGTGCATGTTTGGTCCTGTCTCACGAGGGTGGGGAGGGAGGGCGACCTCGACTTTTTCTAGTCTTTCTCGTCGTCTATTTTCTGTAATCCGTCTTAATAAAGCTTAGTTGGTACCTGTTGTCTGACTCTGCATTCTGTGCTGGAATGGCCAAAACTCGGACTGTCTCGTCCTGGTGTGATATCCGTGGTTGGCATAGGGCCCTCCGTACTTCTGTATTTGGCATTTCTGAAGTCAAAGAGCCCGCCACCGTAAGGGCCGGATTAGTTGGGGCGAGCATCCGTAG